CGTCTCTTTGTGGTTCTTTTATGTCTGTAATTCTTTTGCATTCTTTATAAATGTTTAGAAGCAATAATGACATTTAAAACATTGAGGTTTAAGTCAGCTTTAACCTTTAAGTCGTACTTGTTAGGAAAGAAAACCAGTGAAAGCGAACAGATCTGGAGACGCTGCTCAGCTCGGACCCTTCCAGGATCAAATGGTGACGACGGCCGCTAACTACCTGCTTCTTCCCTGCGTTACTCCAAACCAGGCAGAAGTCTGGCACACATCATTCGCTGCCCGTCACAGTAATTCATCAAAGCAGGAGCAGCACGAGTGGAGGACGGCACATGGAAAAGCTCTCAGGACCGGCTATAGATTGAGTCAGAACTGTGTAACGTCAGTCAGTGATAGCACAGAAGACATTTATTTATGTGAGAATGCCACAGATTTTTACTTGAGGTTTGGTGCTCTGCCTTGAAACCGCAGTGGAGCCGATGACAAAAACACACAAACAGCTCCGCTCAGACGTCTTTCCCAGCCTCTCCGCATTCTTCATGTCCACCAGCTTTGGAGATACAGAATGGGGTCAGAGAAAATCAGCCGAGGCTTTGGGCAGAAACGATTCAGGAAACTCTCCTGGAAGCAGCGAAGCTCCCTGCTGAGGAGCTCCTGGAGGAATGTCCTCCATCCAGGTGCTGTGAGCTCTGAAGCTTCAGACAAACACATCATGACAGCTGACACAGCCTGAGCACTGTGGTGGAGAAAAGCTGCCATTTTGGCCACAACGGGGAGGACATTCAGCCCCATTTGCATCCATCAGTATCCCACAGCTCAGTGGAGACCCAGCAGCCTGCAGGTGTTCATCCCAGATGCTCTGGACACGTTGTGGAGGCTCTTGATGTTGATGTCTTGATGTGTGCAGCCCTTCACTACTAACATGGGTCATTTCATAAAAAAATCAATCAGTCCTCAGCCCAGAACCTCCTCAGAACCATCTGGTTCTGTTTCTACAGTGGCTTTATTTAATGCAGCAGAGTTCTACCTTCATACTGTGAATATTTTGGACGTTCTGAGGCTCCAACAGACGGAGAAAATCTGTATCCTCCACATGATGTCAGTAAACGTATCGTAGACCAGCTGCAGTACCTGGTTGTTCCACCAGGTGGAGCCTCTTCCTGTTTGATCCTGTAGAGACCAGAGGAGGCGCCACTCAGACTACAGTTCATGTTGGCAGCAGAGAGCATTGTGGGAGTTTAGCAGCAACGGGACCACGACAGAGACTCTGAGGAGGTTCATGACCTCCAATCAGAGCTGGTGTTTTATTTAAGGTGTCCTACCTCTTTGTCTTCCTGGTTTCTGATGGCAGCTGATGCACATAAATGATCAGGCCTGTATTGTTTCTGATACTAGTCACTTCCAGAGTGCTGGTCCTGGTCCTGGTTCAGGACCTCCATAACTTAAAGCTCTCCCAGTCTGAGCCGTGACGTCAGTCAGTCTGAGTGTTTTGGCTCCAAGGTGGAGGTTGGAACTGCCTCCTGAAACTCCTGGGCTGCAGCTCGGACCTCTGACCCGCTGTGGACGGGGTTTCCCCGCCGAGGCGTTTACGGAGCAGCTCGGGGCTCTTATGTAAATGCGCTCACAGAGCTCTTGGCAGTGCCAGCCTGGTTTGGTTAGCTGGCTTTCCCTGCAGGGCGTAATGATAGGCTGCAAACCACACTGACACCCTGAGCAGACCACTGCAGGCTGTGTGTGTCCATCTCCACAGTGTGCGCTCACACAGTCTGGATGGCTGCGCCGGCGGCCCTAATGTGTCTGAACCAGGACGGAACACACCCCGACACACAGCGGCGGGCACGCACACACCATTCCTGGCGCCCCTGTCATCAGCGTTTGGCAGCGCCGGCACACCGAGGGCACGTTAACACGCTGCAGACACTTCACACTGCAGGAGTGTGTGCTGCCGCCGCCGCTGAACGGAGAGTAAAACAACAGCATGACTGGAAAGATTCAACTGTAAATACTGTCCATAACACAAATCTGTAGTTTTACAAATAGTAATTTGTTCTTCTGCAAAGTTTGACTGTAAAATTATCCAGTTTTACTATATTAAATTAAACTAGATTAGATTAGATTAAATTAATCCTTTGTTTGGTGATTTCATGACATGTCGTCTATATTTTGACAAAATCAATAAATTATTTACCATTTTTTCATCTTTAATATACATATTTTGTCTTTAAATAGCTGCGGATATCCGTAAAATCATGTAAAACAGTCGAGTTTATGATCAAACACTGTAAAAGAAAAGAAAATCTGTCATCTCTGGAAACACAGATGTTTGATGTGGACGTTGTTTAACGTGTGATTTAATGTTTTCTGCTGTTTTACTCGTCACAAAACAGAGAAAATCTGTAAATTGTTCAAAAATGTCACTGAACAACTGTTAAAGGAGAGAAAAGGTAATTTTGTCCAGTGCTGCTGCCACTTTGTAAAAGCGAGGACTTCCACGCTGCGCTGCCCCTCCTCACGCTCAGTGTTTGTAAGTGTGTGGGAAGTAGGAGAAAGGGGATTCCACACCGAGCCGCTGCCATAAGAGCACTTTTGTTCTACATTTATGCCTTCGTGCTCGCGGAGACGCACACAAAGGAAAAAGTGGTTTGTGCGTCAGCAGCGCGTTCAGAGCCGAGTGTTCCTGGGAGGGTTGAAGGTTGCCGGGCGGGTCGCTGCGCTCAGATCTGTTTGTGTGAAGGGACAGGCTGGTAGTTTGATCTGTCCCCTCGGCTTTCTCCATTTTTGTGGTCGTTATTTCCTGGTTGCGTCAGAGCCAGCGGGCTGCACACACACACTGTTAGAGGCTCCACTCCTGTGAGAACATAATCAGAAATGAGCTTTTAAATAGGCGAGCGCCCGGCGTTGCCAATGCGAGCAGACTTTTAGTGAACGTGATGGATGAGGCTGCTTCACACTCGAGAAAATGAAAGTCTTGATAAAAACACGTAGCAGGGCTTCGTTCAGAGATGTCATGTATCGCCCCAAGAATCACATCGTATAAATCAAAGTGACTCGACTCCAAACCTCAGAAAGCCATCAGTCAACATGTGAAAAACAAAGATATATATTTTGCCCTCCAGAAACAGAACGACATTGTGAGTTTGGGCCTCAGCATGACTCATAACTGTAATAGTAAGACTTTAACTGCTTCGCTTTCATGCCAGCAGGCGTTTTGTAATACACAGATTTATCCCTTTTTTTCTTTTCGCGGTGTACGTTTCATTTTGGAAGGAAACCCTGAATGCGTTATGAGAATAAGTATTAAGAAATGTGTTGAAAAGCCCCTTAAAATGTGTTTAATCCTGTTATTTTAATGTGTGGTTGCACTCTGTCAGCGTTTGTGTGTCTGCACTGAGTAAGATGAAACTTAATTTCTGTCTCTTCCTGTTAACGCCGACGCTAGATGCTGCCGTGGGTGAGTGTCACAAAGAAGCTCTGGGTTCCTTAGAGCTCACAGAACCACTGTCAGGTTTCATTTTAGTCACTTTTCAGGTCTGTGCTATCAGTTTAAAAAGCTTTGTTATACGTGTGCAATCAATTTGGTTTTGAATGACAACTTTTTTTCTGCAGATTTGTTGTGTTTATTGTTAACTCCCTCAAGTTCACGACCCGGATACCAGCCAAGTGACCCACATACGACTGGTCACGACCCGTTCAGACATACAGCAACAGTTTACAGGAGTCACTGTTGACCAAGGACAAGTTTTAAATGGTTCTGGATCATTTGGAGTCACTGCTGACAGTTTTTAACTCATTTCTGGACAAGTTTCAAGATATTTTTGAGATTTTCCAACAATCTTGGACAAATTTAAAGTTGTTTTAAATAAGTCAAATGACAAATCAGCTACAGATATCTGCTGGAAGTTGTACGAGTCAGGACTTTAGGTCAGTTTCTGCTCCAGCAGAATTACTTTGTGCGACGTGTTGGTCCTGAACTGTTGGAAATCTGAAGTGCTGATGCCTCTAAACAGCCACGTTGATCCTTTTTCTCACCGTTTGTCCTCTTTAAATGGCAGTTAACGTGCTAAAGCGTGACTCTAGTAGGACTCAGAAGCCAGAGACCTGGATTTGACTTTTGACTTGACTGTCACTTGCAGAGAAAATAATTCTCCGCTCCCTGAATCACATAAATCACTCCGGCCAGTTCCAAGCGTGTCAGACGTCAAAGCTGCCGTCCCAGACGAGCTGAAGTCCACTTTAGAGGGTTTCTAATCCGTTCAGACGAGTTCTGGTTTCTGTCAGTGGTGCTGACCACACAGACGGTCACAGACTCACAGCAGGAACCAGAAACGTGAAGATAAAGTCGCTTTCTGATGTGGACGCGATAGATCCGTGTGCCTGCAGGACGTTAGTATTGGACAGACGTGATGGAAAAGAGCACAGCGGCAGAGCGATTCTTTTCTTCATGCACAAACGTACATTTTTGGACTTTTTTAGCATTAACATGTTTCTTCTCATGTCCGTGTTGATTTTGTCCACTTAGTGCCTGTTCCCGTCCCGACGTTGCCCGTTTCCATTGCCTCAGAACGCCCATATACCATGACCTTAATGCCATGGAGCCACCAGAGACAATTTTTACTTGTGTTGACGTGACTTGGCTAACTCCACGTCAGTATGCGATCATTGGAAAAATCATGAAAAGCGGGTTATTTGTGAGCCCCTTTGTAGAGCGCTGCTCCATGAAGGCAAACCGCCGACGCTGCAGGACTCTGAATGTGTCTGAAAGGTCGGAGGTCGCTGCAGGAGTTCACATGTCAAAGTTAATCAGACCTACTAACGCTGTTATATCCAACTCAGTAGCCACAGACAGAGGCTCAGTGGGAGAGACGATGGACTTTGAAGTCATTAATGCCAGTCTGACTTGACATTAAAGTCAGCTAGAGAAGTAAATACACATCAGGTGTTTGAAAAAGATGTTTTCAGCCTCGTGCAGAGTTTCATACAAAGTCTGACCTCTGATACGTGACCAACAGGGAGAAGACTTCATGGACTGGTGGAGCAAATTCTACGCTTCGACTGGGGAGAAGAACAAGTGTGGGACCTACCTGGAGAGAGGCTTCGACACCCTGAAGGTAGGACTGTTAGCTGCTTCCCTGTACAGGAGAAAAGGCTGCGATAGTCACGTCTTTGATGGAGCATGTTCAGACAATAATCAGGTAAAACACCACATGTTTTCTGACCAAACAGCTTCAGCAGCCACAAGCTCTAAACACTTCATTGTCAGTATTTAGAAACCAAGCAGCAACAACCACAGCTTTGCACTGAGGCAGTTCTGGAGCAATGTGACGTGAGATAAGTAGATCAGAACTTCAGAGTCCCAGAGGTGGAGAATCTGTGTTTCTGCAGACGTAGCTTCTTTTCTGCAAGAATATATGTTCATTAATTCATGAAGCAGAGGTTGGTTTCTGGTCTGTAGAATAACAGGATGTACCAGTAAAGCTTCCCCGAGACATCAATGAGCTGAAGTTCTGCTCTGAAATCAAGACCTCACAGGGCTCGTCCGGGATTTGAACCCGGGACCTCTCGCACCCTAAGCGAGAATCATACCCCTAGACCAACGAGCCACATTTTGAAAGGATGAATGTGACGATATTTGCAGGCCTGGAGCTCATCTTGTCTCCTCGTCCTAGAAAGATGTTCCACCATCAGTAGAAAGATGTTCCACCATCAGCTGTAGAAAGATGTTCCACCATCAGTAGAAAGATGTTCCACCATCAGTAGAAAGATGTTCCACCATCAGCTGTAGAAAGATGTTCCACCATCAGTAGAAAGATGTTCCACCATCAGATGTAGGAAGATGTTCCACCATCAGATGTAGAAAGATGTTCCACCATCAGATGTAGGAAGATGTTCCTCCATCAGATGAATGTATCTCCACCAACTGGCTCCTCTGGTCTCTGGTTCTGATCTGTGCTGCATCTATTCATTGATGGTGGATGTTCCTCTCAGGCTCTCTGAGGAAACTCTGGCTGCAGTTCAGCTGAAACAACAGCTCTTCACCTTCTACTGTTTTCATGTCTCCTGATGCTGCCACTTGGGGACTGGTTAATATTGCTGTGAAATGAAAGAGAGCAGTAACGAACCAACTGATCGGAGCGTCTGCAGATGTTTAACCGAATCTCACCAGAGGAGAAAACAATCAGAGAAGGTGAACGTAAAGACAGAACGTGAGAAGGACATGTGAAGAAGATGGAGACAGTGCAGCTCTTTGTTCCGTTTTCTGTAAATGTTTTGCTCGTTGCCCCAAACTTCACCATCTAAATCACATTTTTGCCGTCCTGCCAGCTGCCTCTGTCAGTCTGTCCCGTCCTCCGCTCGGCGCCGTGACACTCCGTCCGGTTTCCGAACTTCTGCGGTGACTCATCGTGGTGAATTCGCTTCGGGAACGCCGCAGCGGGACGGATTCGGGGAAAAGGCCGCGCTCCGACGCTGGCGAGCGCGATCGCGTCGGCCGCCGTCGTGTAATCTCATTACAGTGGTTTGAGAGCCCCTCGCCGTCGCCCACGCTCTCTTCAACCCTTATCCCCGTTCTCTCGGCCCAAGCGGCGACCTTTTCCTCCAGCGGGACTCGAAGCACACGTCAGTCTGCTCGTCTGATGCCCAAACAAATGACTAATCATGTCAGAATGTGGCCTTTCTTTATTACTTTTAAATTAGACCTCTAACCTCTCCCTTGAAAGCCATTTCACATCAGCGGCAGCTTCAGCTCTGTCCTCTGCTCTCCTTTAATGTCCACTGGCTCTTCAGCAGCTGTAATAGTGGTTTCCTGCACTCACTACCTGTACCGAGTCCAAACAACAGCTTGGAAGTCACTTTCTGATTACTTAATTGGCGAGACAAAGTGTTCAAGTTGTAGAAGCATTGATGCACGAAATTATCCAAATGATGGATCACACTTGTGGAAAACGGTCTTGACTCAGAGGAGGACTCCACATGGAGCACGTCGAACATGCTCCAGGGTAGAAGTACACTTCTTTGTCCCTTTTGTTTTAGATGTAAAACTCAATGGCACAGTAGAGAACAATAACAGCTTTCCCAACAGGCATTGACCCCTGAAAGACTCTTTCCATTTTTCTGGTGGGTGTATTTTTCATTCAGGAAGCCTATTAAATGCCTTCACCCCGGCCGATGGAAACACATCTAATTCGCCTTTGAGGTTTTGCGACATTTCAAAACTTTGCTCGAAATTCACTTGACAGTTGGATGGAAACTAGTGAAATGACCAATGAGCCGCTGCTTTCCAGCCTCCCTCCGTCCTCCGCCTCCAGCCGCCGGCTGCCAGCGCCTCCTTTTTATTTATTCCCTCCTCGCCGTTCCCTTCACTCCTCTGACAAGCTCTTCGCTCAGATCTGCTACTGTCGCAGGGAAGTGAGCCACTGTTTCCAACCTTTCAGCCTCCTTTACCTTCCTCTCAACCCGAGCTGCCACCTCCTCTGCCTGCCCTCCGCCTCCTCTGGTTTCTGCCCTTTGACAGTCTGAGAGCTGCTACTGTCAGCACACTTTCCAGCCTCGCCTCGACCCGACGAACACTCGCTGCTCTTAATATTCTCACCTTCCCTCTCGGCTCTGCTGTCGCCTCCTTTTTGTCACCTTGGTGTTTGTGTTTCCATCTCCTCCTCGCTGCTGCACAGACTTTTCAGTTGCATCACCAATTCAGCGCTCTCACCCGGCGCCAGAAGTGACTAAATATATCAGAACCAGCTTGGCAAATGGGAAATGTGGGAAAAAAAGCTCTGCAGAGTGGGCACGAGTTCATCCAACTCAATTCATTGTAGTAACAATCTGAAGAGCCCGTATTTTGCTCACTGACCTCTTTATAATTTGGTTCAGTCCGTTTACGGCACCGTCTCAGATTCTGTTTATTTTATTTATTTGGCATTTGGGACCCAAAACTAAGTTCTGTAAAATACTTGTACTGAATTTTGGGAATGTGTTATGTTTTCAGACCTGGGATTTTTGTATTTTCACCCACAAAACAACCTGTGAAGCCATTTTAAAGGTTCAATATCTCCAGAAATAAAACTCCCACAGCCATGAAACGTGGTGAGGACCCAGACAGAACAGTTCCCATCAGATCAGAACCATTGAATGGATCCAGCAGAGGACACATTCTTAATTACTGGTTCTTGAAAATGGGATATAGTGCAAAATTGGGGGTACTGTGTCCCCAGAAAGTTCCTGTAAGTTTTTACAGGTTCTGGTTCCTCCCAATAATCCACATCAACATTTAGTCTAAACGTCTAAAACCTGGAACCTGGTCTGGTCCAACGTCACCACATCAGGTTCTGCTGATGTTAGAGCCTGAACAGCTGGAGAACCATGGATCCATTCATGGACAGACACTGACAGGAACTTCCTGGAGACACAACACAGGCCTAGATTCAAGAGATGATTTAAAAATGTGCTCTGCAGGAGTAAAACATGTTTATTTGTCACTTCATCACACGTGTAGATGGACATTGAGGGTGAAATATCAAAGATGAATCAGGTGGTTTTGTTCATGAGAAGAGCAGTGAAATAATAATGAGCTTCATGATACATAGAAGATGCAGTTAGGTCAGGTGGGTCACTTGTGTTTACAAAGTGCATTCTGGGTAAACGTTCCAGGCTCATATCAGCATGTGTGATGGTGGCTGGTCAGAACCAGTTCTAGACAATGGATGGGCAGTTTTTCCTCCAGAACCTCCAGAACCATCTATAGACAGGATCCGCTCTGAGGAGAAACTGTTTTCTGTGACACTGATTTGTCACGAAATGATCCGACTGGCTGCACATCACGTCCCAGAAACCCAGTCTTCTTACCCTGACCTTCACCTCACCTCTCTGCTCTGTCCTTCTCATCTCTTCTCCAACATCGGAGGTTTCTGTCCCTCCTCACCTCTGTCCTCGCTGACAGTAGAACTTGATCGTCTTTTTGCTCCGGTCACAAAGACGCTGCTGTTTACGGCTCTGTTCCTCGCCGTCCTCCACCTTCCTTCGTGGGACTGGATGTCTTTCCAGAATCTTCTTTCATTTGCATCAACTCAGAGAATCAAAGGACCGATTCTTGGCCAGGAGCAGGAACTTCTTGGATATTGCCGGTTGACTGGCCAAGAAACATTCTGGCGCATAACTCAAAGTAAAACTGTGGAGTTTCATTTTTAAACTTGTGTTTCGTACGTAATAAACAGATGAAATCGAACCTGTAGAGCAGCGACCTGTGGAGGCGGTAGACGGATACATTACCTTCTGACAGGACTGGGAGAGTTTTACTCCTGCTCCCTAAACAACTTGTTATGTCATGACACGTCCCAGCACAAAAACATCACAGAATGTGGCATCAGGTC